AAAGCCGCGTGTAACAGAAGTTTTTTTGCCACCCTAATCAGAGTTCTTTTTCTAAGTGCCGCTCTCTGACCCTATCAACAGTTTACGGCAGGTCATGGTATTAACGAGAAGCGGTTCCAGCATCTGCATGTGTTCCTTTAGTCAGGCGTGCTTCCTGGGCAAACTCGGTATCTCAGATTTAGTCGTTAAGCCGTCCATTGTGGGAAAGGCAAAGCTGGCTTAGCTAATAGCAGGCTTAGGCAGTGCCCGTGGGGAGGTGACATGACTTCTCTGGGTTCGACTGCATCCATTGCTTTTGCTATAGATTTTCCTGGATCTGGTTTCAGTATCCTGTCCCCCAGTCCTTTCCCAGAAGTTCCGATGCTGGCCAAGGGACAGTCTCATGTAACCCCCTGTATGTGAAACCAGCATGTTGGTTTTAGTCACCTCAGAGGCTGAAATAAATATTAGAATAAATGAACTAGTGTTTCACCTGGTGGGCAGAAAGGACTAATAAACCTTTTGATCTTATGAGTGTGGCTATCAAAATAGTCTAGGTTGAATATGTAATTATTAGTTAACAAATCAATTAACCAATTCTGCAGTCAAGATTAAGCTCCTACTTCGTGTGAAAATCTATCCTAGCAATGGAGGGAATTTGCACAGAAGATAATCCCACTTCTCTGGTGTTTTGATAACTATATAAAGACACTTGATGCAGGGTGATCATCTACATAACAATGCTCAATATTGTATCATGAAATACCAGGGGAAGTGGAGGTGTTCAGAAAGAGGGAGGCTGGTGTGAGCTGGGATGTTCTGGGAAGGCTTCAAAGAAGCGGGGAGCTGAGCTTGAGGAAGGCTTGAAGTCAGGTAGGCATTCTAATAAGCGGTGGGATCGACTCCATTCAAGTAGAAGAGGCCCGCTTTTATTTTCAGTCCTTTCATAGAAGCCCTTATGCTGATCACGGGGCAGCCTCACATACCCGGCTCCCCATAAATGAAACAGGGGGCCCTGATGACTGATGACAGAAAGACCAAAAATGGCCTGATGTAGAGTGTGGACTCCAGGCCGAGGAGTTCAAGTGTTTTCCTGTGGGGAAAGGGGAATTAATTTAAAGGCCCTTTTAAAAAAAATTGGAATGAGATGTAAAAATTATTCATGACATTGTCATTAAATTATCTATCTATCTATCTATCTATCTATCTATCTATCTATCCAACAACAACAAAACCATGACTTATAACAGTGGACATTCTCCACTGCTCCAGCTGGGTCCAAGGCCATTATCATATTCCTTGCCCCCTCTGCTAGCCATTCTAGACCCGAATCACATTCAGGCAGCACTTCTGCTGACCTAGGTGGGCTTGCCTAATGGGGCATTGCTGAGGGGCCTGAGAACCTGGTTATCACGCCCTTGCCCAGTGGTGATTGCTAACATTGTTCATTCGCGGTTATTACCAGGCATGGAAACACCAAGAGCTGCTCTAGTGACTTTCCTGAACTCCAGACATTCTTCTCCCTGCCACCTTCACATAGAGGCCACTCTATCTTCTTTTGAAAAGCAGGATCAATTACCACTGCCCACACAGTAATCCCCCTTTAAATCCCAGGGCTCCCCTGGCATGAGAACCCTGAATGACTAGGGGCAGCCATGGCATTGAGTTAGGTGGAACCCTTCCTGTGTCACATGGTAGGAGGTTTTCCCCACTGGGAACCAGGCTCTTTAACCTGGCAGATCCTAAAATTGAGTAAACAGGCAACATAAATGCCCCAAGTGGGGAACTGGGAGTGAGGATGAGAGGCAGGCCAGGTGCTATCCCATCGCTGTGATGTTTCATTGAACAAATTCTTTATTGATGACTTGATTTTCATGTTGCCTCATGAAGCCCAGCTCACCAATTCATTTCAAATTAGAGCTTATGTTGTGTTTAATCCACACCCCCAGAGTACAGGTTTGTTACCATGGCTTGCATCCTCAAACGGGAACAGGGGACAAGTAGAAACAGGTGGTGAAAATGTTACTAAGGAAATAAATTGCTTCTTTCTGAGCCAGGCCAATTATCAACCCTCCTTATCCATATGTTATAGGTTCCTAAGAGCAAGGCTGCTGAGGCCACCAAAATGGCTATTGATGTAGGCTTCCGTCACATTGACGCAGCATATGTCTACCAAAATGAGGAGGAGGTCGGCAAGGTCCTTCGAGAGAAGATTGCAGATGGCACTGTGAACAGAGGGGACATATTCTATACCACCAAGGTGTGTTATTTTGAAAAACAAAAGCAAAAACAAAAATAATGACTTTGGTCTTGGTATGAATAATTTATTTACCTCCTACATTGTAGAGGCTCAGTATAGACAAATAGAACCCAGAAAAAACATACATTGAGGGTGGGGCACAGCTGTTCAGCGTTTGTGTATAAAACTCGAATAACGACTTACTGTGTGGGTTGACTTTGCTGCGGCCCAGTGGGGACACTCCTTTTATTCTTTGGCAGCTTCTCTCAGGACACACCCAAGTGATGTTATCCAGAAAGAGAAGCCAGACTAGGAAATACTGTTTTCAAGTCAGCATGACTTGTAGCATGACTTGCAGAGATGATTTTTCTAATCTTTGAAACATTTAAGTTGCTTCTGTTGGCCCATCTAAGTTTCCTTCACAATTTTCATACAGTCACTCAGATAAAACTCAGTATCCCAATAAGGACCTCATTTACACTAAGTAATAAAAATTTAGTACCAACGCTTATTTTTAGACCTCCACAGTGGTCTGTCACTCACTTTTCAATTTTTTAACAAAGATGTTTAATTTTGGTTCTCAAATGTGTGAAATCATAAGCCACTTTTTATTCCTTTTGGTCACTGCAGCTCTGGGCTACTTTCCTTCGACCAGAATTGGTTCGACCAGCCCTAGAAAGATCTCTGAAGAAACTTCAGCTGGACTATGTAGATCTGTTCATCATCCATATTCCAGTGGCTATGAAGGTCAGCTTTTGTTTTTCTTCTTATGCCCAAGAGTATTGCATCACTGCTGTTGTACCTCCATTGTCTCATTCCAGCTAGATTTTTCTGGGTTCTTACTGACAGAGATAGGTTTGAGTGGTAGATAGAATTGCTAAATGATTTATGATTCTCCTTGATAGTTGTGTCATCTCACCATCAAGATTTGTTTATCCTCATTCCACAGACTTCAGAAGGACTGAAATTTAGTGATCTCTCTGCCTTCACATCAAAGAGTTGCGAACACTGCCCTACGTATCTAAGGGATGCACTCCTGTCTGTATTCCCTTAAAAATAGGGTCCTCCAGAAAGCTGCGTTACAAAAGACAACAGAGCTACAAAGCGAAGCCCACACCTCTTAGGGGGAGGCTCCCTACCATATGGACCTCTCAGCCCAATCAAGAGGGAGGCACCCTGGGATGGTCCATATTGCACAACTGGGCTCCTTTGGGCTTTGCTGGTGCAGACCCTCATCACAGTGGACGTTTGCTGAGCATGTCTGCTGTTCTCACGACCTCTGATTTGGGTTCTTGTAAACTGGAACTAAAACATATTGCTTAATAGTAAAGAGAAATCCTATCTTCCAAACCAACCTGTCCTTGTGAAACAAAATCAATGTCAACTGTAGGAGAACCGATTCTTAGTGAAATTTTGGGGGTGTGGATAAGAGGCTGGAGGTAATTGGGGGAGAGGTATTTTGCTACAGTCTCTCAGGTGATTCTTACTTTCCTCCCCCAATCTTCTTTTACAACACACACACACACACACACACACACACACACACACACACACACACACACACACACCCACACACACACCATGCTCAGATTCGTAATCACAACCTCTTGAAGTTTGTGTCACCAAGCTTCTTGGGTACCAGGAAGGTCATTCTTAAAAAACAA